CACCCACACCCACACCCACACCCACACCCACACCCACACCCACACCCTCACCCACACCCACACCCACATCCTCACCCACACCCACACCCTGGTTTTCAAAATGTTATTAGTGAAGAGAAACTTTCTATTGAAATTGTTAATTTAAAAAGAAATTTTGAACAAATAACTGATTCTGGTATTCTTCTTCAAAGTAAAGTTTTGGTTAAAGCAACTGAAATTGCACCAACAATAAAACATCTTGAGGTTAAACTTCCAAAAGGACAAACTTATCGAACAGGTGATTATCTCGCGATATTACCATCGAATCCAGTTGAAATTGTTTATCGAGTTCTCAAGCGATTCAATCTATCTACGGATACTCAAGTCAAAATTCATTGTTCTACAAATACTTTCTTTCCGACTAATCATCCAGTTAGTGCATTTGATATCCTAAGTGGTTACGTTGAATTAGCCCAACCGATCAGTAGAAAACAAATTGAAACTCTTGCTGCATTATGTAAAGACGAAAAAGAAGCAGCACAACTCAAGAATCTTAATGGAGATACATATGAAATCGAAATTCTCAATAAACGTATTAGTATATTAGATACTCTTGAACTGTATTCTTCATGTGATCTTTCATTTGCACAATATCTTCGAATGCTTCCATCACTTCGTGTTCGTCAATATAGTATTTCTTCTTCGCCTTTATGGAATTCGGAAGTCGTCACACTTACATTTGATGTATTAAATGTTCCCGCATTAAGTGGATCTGGACAATACTTTGGTGTAGCATCAAATTATCTTGCAAATTTACGAGAAGGTAATCCAATTAGCTGTAGTGTTCGAGCAAGTAATACAAGATTTCATCCACCTGAAGATACAACAATACCAATTGTTATGATTGCTGCTGGAACTGGAATTGCACCATTCTGTGGTTTTATTCAAGAACGAGCAGCACAATTAGTATATGGACGAAATATTGGATCTACAATTCTTTATTATGGATGTCGATCACAAGAAGATTTTTTGTATTCAAATGAATTCGAAAAATGGTCTAGCCTTGGGGCAGTTCAAGTCAAATCAGTGTTTTCTCGTCAATCAAATAATGGTAAAAAATATGTTCAAGATTTACTTTGGGAAGATCGGAATGAAATCGCTAGTTTATATTGTGAGGGTGCACGCTTTTATACGTGTGGAAGTGGTCGAAAAGTTGGTGCATCAGTCAAAACATGTTTCATAAAGATTATTGCAGAAATTAAACAATGTAATGAAGAAGAAGCAACAAAAATTCTCGAGAAAATTTCTTGTGATCGGTATAATGTTGATGTTTTCGCATAAGATTATACTTCTTTAAAACTTTTTATTCGTCAAACCCTTTTGTGTGTTACTAATTTACGTCTTTCTACATAACTATTTAATAAAAGAATACTTAGAAAAAAATCGTGCAAATATACCTATTTATAATACGATATGTTCGTTAACTCAACTTGAGGGTATAAATGTAGATATAGACGCGTGTGAGAGATGAACACAACACTCATACTGATGTGGATTTTGTAGAATCTAGAATGATATCTTAAAAAGATCGTCGAATTTGACTTGGAAGAAGTGATAATAATAGTAAAAGATGCTCTTGAAGGAATTTGTTTTCGAAAAGCTTAAATGTAGATGAAGAAGCTTTTTCCTAAGCATTAATCGAGATATTGGTCTATTCATCGTAATCAGAAGTTAATTTTGAGATACAAATACGAGTTTTAATGCCTCTTCATAGATATTTAATTAATCACAGAGTATTTTTTAACTAAAAACAAGCGGTGCTTCATAAACAGAATACTAAGAGTAAACTAGCTTTGTAACATATTTCGAGGAATGATGGCTTTTTCGAAGAATAAATCAAAGGACACCTTCCTTTCTTCTATTCGAATGACTGAGGACCGTCTAGTATCATAACACATTTTTCATTCCCAGTAAATACAAGGTTTTTTCGTTCGTTTCTTCGTATTTCGACGCTGATTAAATATTTTTCTTTCTCGAAAGAAAACCAGTAAGTTTGGCTTCACTTTCACTACACGTATTATATATTTGCATAAGATAAGTGCCAGAAAAAAACGCATTGATCGAATATCATGTCTGATATAATACAATTCGATTATAAAGATCATTGGAAAGAAAAAGAAATTACTCTTCAGAGAGTTTGTATCATTAATCTTAAATATCTATTTTAAACTTATTTTCTTTGTGTCTTTTTTCGATAGACAAACAGTGCCCATGAATCATTAGGGTTCACTATTGCAGGAGGGATTGATTTACCTTTTATGAATCATCATTTTACATCTATTATTGTTACGAATATTACTGGAAATGGTCTTGCATATAGAAATAAACAATTAAAGTAAGTAAAAATGTTTTTCGTCAATAATGATCTTTTTATTTATTATTTTAGATTATATGATATAATATTACGTGTGAATAATTTCGATTTTACTAATATAAAACATCAAAAAGCTGTTGATATTTTGAGAGCATCAGGACATAAAATCCAATTGGTAAGCAGCGTAAGATGTATATGTCAGAATCTTTATTTATTATCTGCTCAGTTGATCCGACGTCTCGCACCGTTGTATAGTGAAGAGATTGAATTGATGCATAATGGAAAATTAAATATTTATATTAATGGTGGAATTGGAAATGAATATTTTACAAAGTAATTATCAGTATGATTGTTTCCATTTTTCTTTACCTAACGTGTTTTTTACTTCTACAGCGATCATGGCATATTTATAACAGACATAAGTAAACATCAGACTAATAAACAGCTAGACATCGGTGATCGATTATTACAAATCTCCTCCACGGTAAAACTATCAGATATGGTTGTTTTTTTGCACAAACGATGAATTTTAGTCGAATACGTACGATTTACGATTTGTTACATTAGAATATGCCAAAAAATATATACAATTAGCCTGTATAGAAAGTCAAACGATTAAACTATATGTTGGACATGCAAGACTCACTGAAAGAACTGTTTTACATCAAGAACAATATGATCCATTTGGCTCAAATGATGAAAGTAGCGTAGCTCTGATAATCACTTTCTTTTTTCTTATTAATCTCATTCTGTTTGATAAGAACCTGTTCAAGTCAATAAAAACAACTATGCAACTGCATTGTACAAGAATCATAGTATGATATCTGAACCTAGTCATGAATATCATGTGCCAATCAACACAATGCATAATGAAGAGGAATTGATTATGTCATTCGATTTTGATGGTATATACAAAGAATAATATTAAACAACTAGCTTCTCTACAATCATTTTAGATTATCAGAGATATGAAAATCATAGTAGATCCCACAATAATCGTTCAACAGGATTTCTGGCAAAAGAGGAGTCACAGGCAAATCCTATTGGGTGAATATGATCGTTATCTTATTAAATTATTATATAGAAATTCATTTTCAGATCAGCAATGATACAACCGAAAATTAATCGCCAAGTGAATCAAAAGAGTCAAAGTCTTAAAGTAAGTACGACATTATATCAGCGGTCTAATATAGAATCAACGCTATATTGTTTATTTTAAATATTATTTTTGCTAATTTTCTTAACTACAGGTAAATAATACTGATCCAAATGCTGGTATCAACCAGAAAATTGCAGAGGAATTGAAACTTAAACAAGCAACGATCCGTAAGTTCCTAATTATTCTTTTGATTTACTTTTTTCAGGTATCTTGTTTTTTTCTAGGCGACGCTCATGAAGAAAGGATACGACGTCAACAAAGTAGAATGGATCAAATAGCACGTATTAATAGTGGTAGAACAGGTGGAGCATTACGAGTAAGCCACTATTCTTTAGAAATAATATAATCTGTAAGGTATGCTATTTTCTTTCCTATATATAGTGGCAAGTTGATTAAACTGGTACAGATATGAAAAACATGCAATTAACAAAAGCCAAGTACATAAAATGAACTATCTTTTTCTTGTCCTACAAAACTGAAAATAATTATTTTTCATAAAACATGGACGAAATCAAACACCATAGATAATATTAATAATGTAATGGTCTATATCGTTGCTTTTCTCTATGTTTATTCCGAAGCGTGTGGTTTTCTTATAGATAGATAGTGATCGAAAAAAGAAACGTCTTTCGATTCGCACTCAGGTTTACAGTAACATATATTACATAGAAGAAGAGAAGAGGAATGTGATTAGAAATTTGAATGATATACTTTTGTCAGTTCTGGTGTGGATATTATATCCCTATCTTGTTCATATCCACACTCATCCTCAAGATGCGAAAGATCTAGTATAATTAAGAGAGTCAAACATATAAAACACATAAACTTCTTCAATAGAATCTGTAATGAATTTGAGATATTTGTCTTCTTCAAGCAATGCTTTCAATCTATTGACTAATTGTATTTTAGCGCTAGTGGTTTCTTGGCATGTATTCAACACTTTAGTACTGGATGTCAATAAAAGTCATATGATGCGTGTCTTCACATCGAATAGGTAAAATTGCATGGATTTAAATCGAGAGAATAAACCATTGACAACATTGGATCTGTAGATCTAAATGTGAGTTGATCTTCAACTTTGATACCTGGTAAAGGGTACATAATCATGCTTAGCACACATTCTTCGTGATCTTTTGGGGACCCTTTTCAGTAAGTGATAAAAACTCTGAACAGTACTTATTAAATGAGACACTGTAAAGAAATATTGGAAATACAGTTTATCGTATTTACAGAAATATTTTAAGAAAGAACTGTTTTCCTATCTCGAAAGACCAATCTATAAAAAAAGATACAGAAATGATAGTTCGATTTGCATTATCTGATGTAGAAATTGTTCAATGTGGGATAGAAAGTTCTTGTTTCGATGCTTAAAATGGATGGTTGTTGATTTGCATCAAATCCAACGTGATTAGCTAACAACTAATGTTAGCGAATCGAATATATTTTTGTTTTATGAAACGAATATCAGATGAATCGAGCAGGCCCTTATTCAGTGGCCAATCTTGGGATCGATCGGGAACCATCTTAAGGATATGGATATGAGAATGAGGAGAATGAATGAAATCAGTATCCTCGTTCACACCTACCTATCAAATACGTAATAGCTTCAAAAACTGGAATATATATGTGAAATAAGCAACCATGAAACAACACATTTGTTTTTTTATTGTTTCACTTTATTATCAATAGTGTTGATAACAAGTCACTGTCTGCTAAGTATGTTCATCTTCATGCTGTATTATTCGTAAATAAATATAATATGAACATGCGCATGTATATCCTTCAAACGATATCTTTTGATCTCTATCGTATTGAAGTGAGTGTGAATGTTGGTTTGCATGTAATATTCATACTGACTCATCCATTATATTTCAGACATATGCAAATTATTATAGGAGAACTTTTTGAACAATTTTTATGAACGATCTATAATGATCTTTATTGTAATGTCGTATAGTTTTACAAAAAAAACAGCATAATTTTTCGTAATCACTTTTGTATAACTAAGCAAAGTGTTTAGATAAAATTTTTAGACACGTGTCTTTGTTATTCGAGTCAATGATTGAATACGACAACATTGATTATAATGTGTAAATTGAAATAACTGGATCACATTGATTAAAAGACAGCTTAACGCTATTAACAATAATTTGGAAGTAACAGAAACCTTCATTTCAATTATTATAAAGGAGGCAATCAAAAGTATTATGGACGTAATAAGCAACAAAATAAGTAGAATAAGACCCCACCATTTGCGTGACATACGACAAGTATATTTGAATGCATAACATAGAAGCGAGAAAACGCTAGAACAGATACCAATCTGATTTAGTACGGCAACAGTATTTTGTTCGGCATATACCAATACGAAGCACATGACATTAATTGTCGTAGAGTTCGATAATATTTCGCCAGGTACACAAACAATTCTTTCATATATTCCTGATTGTCTCACTAGAAAACAGGCACTGGCTGATAGTGGACAAGCATCTTGACTTGACTTATAGTGTGCTTGCAAGACACATCCATCTATAAGTAAAAGTAGAGTGATCCATGGAATAAATGCCAATTGAACGATGAGAGACAGACGAAAACGTCGTGATAATAAGAAATCAATTTTAACACCGAAAAAATTCATAAGAAATCTTTGATGATTTATTCGAGTGATTCCGAATAGTTTTTCAACTAATTCTACTAGTAATCGATGTGATAGTGATGCAAAGAGGCAAATTTCAGACAGAAGTAGTGCACTATAGCTTCCAAACATTATCGATCTATAGTATTGGAATTCCATCACTGTTGTTTGTAATAATCTAAAAATATAAATAAATTAATACTTGTTATAATCATTTGACTCTCATTATTAATGTCTTATTAGTTAGACTAAAAACTAGGTAATCTATGCTAAGAACAAAATTATAAAAGAAAACAACATCATATAGTTCATTTCGCTTTTTTTCGAACAAATAGAAATATGATCAACTAGTCTTGAAATACAAACCAACCGCTCAACAACAATTTGTAATAGACTAGGTAAATTATACAACTTCACTTTGCACATCACCGACATATATTAACAGTGTAGTATCATCATGAGATTAGTCATGATTGTTCGTCACATGGATAATTAGTTGCGAGATAATTCGTCACATATACAATTAGTTGTGGGATTATTCGTTGTATGAATAATGAAATAGTCAATGACTTTTTCAGTCAATTGTGTAAGGATGAGCATTGAAGTAGTAGATAGAACATTATCTTTTATATTCGATTTTGGTTTATTGAAAGATATTTTCAATGAGACAATCGATTTTTCTTTCTTATTTACAAATTTATATCGATTATAATATTAAAAGTTCTAAGCAACAAGTTTTACAAAACTATCTTCACCTAAAATAAACTTTTGTATTTGTATTCATAAATGATAAAAAATAAAAAACCTGATGAACTCGTTCGATTGCCGAGTATATATCAATAAAAAGATCCTTTAAAAAACGTTTAGTCTTTAATTACGATGTTGAATTTTGTTTCTTATACAAAGAGAAATAAAAATGTTTTATTACCTAAATCAAACATTGTTTTAGCAAACAAATGACTTTTAAATATGTTTGTATTTGCTTATTTATTTGAAGTCATTCTTAAAAGACAAGTAAATCAACGACTAAACAAGAAAAAAATATTTTTTTCTACAAATAAAAGAAAAACTCACTTCAAATTTTATACATAAAATTAGCATTCACAAACTCGAGAGAACAATATGTATTTTATTATCATTTTATCAATTATCAGTGGAATAACAGGTAAAACTAATTTCGATTTTGATTTTTTTCTCTCAAACATTTTCCGTAATCATTAGCACTTTCGTATAATTTACCAAAATTTTGTCCCAATGCAACTTGGTATGAAAACTCAACAATATTTCCAAATGGTAGTACTAATGATTACAAAGCCTTTGGTCTATTCATAAACACTAACAATACTATTTATATAAATAGTCAATCTGATGGTAAAGTTATTATGTGGTTGAGAGGAGCTGTTACTCCCACGAATACTATTTTCAGTTATTTGGTCAATGCATTTTCCATCTTTATTACTGAAACTGGGATTATCTATGCTGATCAAGGTAACGACCATCAAGTGATGAAGGCAGTAATAAATTCAAGCAACGAAACAGTTGTAATGAACACTACAGCAGCATGTACTGGACTTTTCATTGATACAAATAATGTTCTTTATTGTTCAATGTATTCCAGTAATAGAGTAATAGCAAACTCACTAAACAATATATCGAGTACAGTTAACACCGTTGCTGGAAATGGCTATCAAGACTCAAATTCGATGACACTTTCTGGTCCACATGGTATATTTGTTGATGATAATTTTCGATTATATGTAGCTGATTGTAATAATAACAGAATACAACGTTTCGATTCGGGATCATTGAATGGAACAACAATAGTCAAAAATGGAACATCAACAACAGTTTCACTTGATCAACCAACTGGAATTGTACTTGATGCTGATGGTAATCTATTCATTGCGGATAGAGGTGGAAATCGTATTGTTCGATTTGAATATAATGGCACATTGCTATGTATTATTGGATGTACTGTTAATACGATATTAAAGTATCCAGAAACAATGAGTTTTGATAGTAATGGTAATATATATGTTACTGGTCGAGAAAATAAAGGAATTCAAAAATTTGCTCTTGCAACAAATTCCTGCAGTGAGTATCAACTGAGGTTTTATAAAAATCATATCTTTATACAAACAATATTCTAGATACACCATCAATAACAACAATTCTACAATCAAGTACAGTTCCAACAAATATTCAAACAACAATCACAAATCAATCATATCACTCGACAGAAATTATGCAATCAAGTCTTTTCGTAACAACCATTCACGGTAATTCTCCCTTCTTGTTGTAATTAAATTGAAATTTTATATTTTTTTTTATTTCAGTAACAGCACCGACACTTTTGTTTATTGCGCCGACTTGTTCGAATCAGACGTATACTGGTATTCACTGTAATATATCTGCAACACCATGTGATCTTTCAAATCTCTGTCAAAATAATGCAACTTGTCAAAATATAAATACAACTTACCGTTGTAATTGTTTACTTGGTTTTAATGGAACAGAATGTCAATTTGATCAACGACCATGTCAACCAAATAGATGTTGGAATAATGGTATATTTCTTCGATATTTTATAAGAATTTTATTTGCTTGTTTTATAGGAACATGTAATAAATTGACAAATGAAACATTTAATTGTACATGTGCATCGAATTGGGCAGGGATTTATTGTGAAAGAATGATTAATTATTGTGAAAATGTGAGTTGTGAAAATGAAGGTGTCTGTCGACCATTATTAGGTGATTATCGATGTGAATGTCTTGATGAAAATTATTCGGGTCGTCATTGTGAAATTTCATCCGAATCAATTCTTGTTCATAAAATAGTTTCGAAATTATTTGCTGTAATTGCTATTCTAGCTATAGCAGTTGTTATTGCTTGTGTTATTATTATGGATATATTAAAATATTGCTTTAACATTGATCCAGTACGGAATTATAAATCAAAATCAGTTCAAAAAAAGAAACGTCAACGTCCTGTGATTATCAGACATATTTACAAAAATGCACGATCGATTGTTTAAAATATAACGATTTTTAGATTGAATAAGAACATGATGAACACACTTCGATTTGAATTATCTCGTTTCGCTTTAATAAATGCGAATTTCCTTTTTATAGAAAAACAAAAGAAGCTTAAGATTTTATTGAAGAAACCGATGAAAGATGATCGAAATGAACTATTTTTTGATCAATACAATTCAGCATTGCTGAGGTAACTACTACTAGTACCTCCATCAGTCAATAATACTTTTCCATTTGATAATATCGACGCTCTATTTAGATCAAATTTGAATAAAAACGATCGAAAAAAGAAAATTTCTAAAATAACGATTTGGTGATGTTCAGATAATGAACAAAAAAGAATTTAATTTTCACTTAGAAAAATATCATAGCATAGTACACAAGAATTTATTCGTAAAATTGAATTTGTTACATTCGATTGCCGAATCTGAAGAGATTATCAGTCGAGTGTATGAAATAGCTAAATCAAGGAAACTTTCGTTGGAAAATTCCTCTTAACTTTATCTGACACTTCTTTAATACGAAATAAAATGCATAATTTTTTTTTCGAATTATATTTCTCAAAATATACAAATAATTAAAATAAGTTTCAAAATGTGCATGTGAGCATTAACATCCACTAAAGACACATCGTTAAATTCTTTCCCATGACGTCCTTTCTTTTATGTTGAAATACCGATGAGTTCATTTAATCGTATAAAATATTCGAATTCTGATGATCAATCATCTATATTGCCTAGTAAAAACATTTGCTCATATTTGTTAGATATTATTATGATAAATTACCTTCGTTTACTTAACAATCGAATAAATAAAAAGATGATATTTATCAAGATGAGCATATGTTGAAACAATTATTATTGTTGACATTAAAGATAGAAATATCTCTCAACAAGATTGCTTATTTTCTACATTTTTCTTTCCTGATTATCTTTTGTCTGTGTACATGTCGATCAACATCTTCCGTTGATATATTAACGAAAACGACATTTCTTAATCTATATCTTTCTTTTTCTTCTGTTAATTATCTCATCGTATACTATAGAGCTGCCCACTGACGATCAAAATAGAACTCAAGTGTTTCTGTCGTTTCTTTCTTTTTCTTCTCTACTTATTACATACTGTCGATTGTTACATACTTGAAAGTAACGATATATTTTTCATTGTAAACTATGAATCAACATCAAACTGTAAGTTGAAAATATTTTATTGTTATAAAAAATTCATTAAATTATTTTCTTTTTGAAGAATTATGGTTTACCAAATCGAGTTTCTCATATTTCAAATTTATTTCCATTAGCAAATATCGATGAAGATGAAAGATATATCGCGAATTTTATTAATCAACGTTTAACTTTAGATTCTTCGGGAACATCAGGCAGAGCAAAGACTATTATGCAACCTATTCTTACTGAAGATATTTCATTATTCAATAACACAGGTTTTTTTCCCAATCAACTTCGTCGTTCGGAAATTTCCTATCCATATGAATATAAACTACCAGTGAATATTAAACAAAATTCCGGTGCTACATTACGACATAGTTTAATGAATATGAATGATTTTAATGAAGAAATACCAATTAATATAAATCATTTACGTCGTCAACAAACAGGAGGAATTAAAAAAAGAATCAAATCTATTTCAAAAGTACGCGTTATTGATCATTATGCAGAACCAATAGAAAGTGCTATTCAACTTGATCATCGTCAACATTCAGCTTTATCACAACCAATTACATATAAAATTCCTGTTCATATTCAACCATCAACTGGTACAATTTTAAAAACACATTATGCAACAACAGAAGAAGAAGAACTACCACACGAAAGATCGGTTCGTTTTGCTCAATTACGTAAACCTATATTTGCATCATCGAATACAACGAAACGATTAGTTTCATCGATAATCGAACCAAGTGCATTCATTGATATACCAATTATTAATGAAACTTCTATTCATCTTGATCGTGTTCATCATCCGATGAAACCACAAATTATTCAATATAAACCTTCACCAAATATTCAATCATCAATGGGTTCAATATTTCAAACAAGACTAGCACTAAGTCAAGAAGAATCACCTGAAGAAAAATCGTTTTATGTTAATCAATTTCGACATCCAACTATTAAACATTCACCGAATAATGAAAGAGAATGGGTTTGGATGTAAAGTGATTTATCATATTTATTATATGCATACTTACTCATACTAATTCCCTGCTTATTTTTTCATCCTTATAATAAATATTTGACAAAAGATTTTTTTTTACTAATCAATGAAGTAGCATATATTCTCGTATTTTTTTTCAGGACAAAAGATGAACTATGAGCACTTGCTGTAGAGAACTAAACTGCTCTCCGAAACCCGACTCCGACTCCACGGAATCGGAGTGACTATTTGAAAATTTTCGGAGTCGGAGTCGGAACTAAAAAGAAGGATTTTCCGGAGTAAATATCGGACTCCGATTAGAAGGCTAATTAAATTGCTTATTTCTTTCTCAAAAAGAAGTTTTTTGTCATAATATTTGAGTTTTTAAAAGAATTGAAAAGAAAGAAAGAAAGAAATTCTACAACTTCTATAACTTAACAATATCAAATAGTCTTTTTTTATTTGCTTATAATTTTGTTCATTCACAATGCTTAGCCTTTCTGTTTGTCTCTACACTACAAAAAAATTTTCGGAGTTTTTCGGAATCGGAATTACCCAGAATTTTTTCTCGGAGTCGGAATAAAAAAACTAGACTCCGCAGTTCTAGAACTTGCAAGTATGTCACAGTAATAGATAATGCGGCACGCACTTCTGTCATTTATGATAGGGAAGGTAGACATGGGCGATATCATATTGAAATCGGGAATCGGCAAGTCTGATTTCGATCCGATACTTAAAAAGTCAGATCTTATTTCGATCTCATGATACAAAAATCTTGGTATCGGTGCCGTTTCTGGTTATATTGTTTTAGAAAATAAAATCTCAAACATTAATTGCTCCGGATTTGAATGATTTTAAAGTATTACAAAAATAATTAAAAAAAACAAGGATCTATTAATTAGAATTTTAACATAGGTGATTCCGATACGATACTAAAAATAAAAAAATTCTCAACGATCCGGTTCCCGAATCTAGACAAATCTGATTTTGCTTGTCTCTAAGTGAGAGTGGGGCTTAGACTGGAGATGTGATCGACATCCTCTTTCACTATATAAAGAAAAAATAATTTTTGACCGCCTAGTAAGGACATCTAACTCTTCACACACTAAAAATGGTTGCCTGGAATATTAATCATCGTCAAGTATATATTTGAGTTTAGTTGATGATTCATTTTTCTCTGGTGTTATTGCAACACATTTTGTATATAAAAGGACAGAAAAACATGTTTGAAATCATTTTATAAGGCATGTTCGAAAAGAATTCGTTGACATTATTTGATCATCTACCAACAGAAATCGTATTCGAAATTTTTGATTACCTCTCATCTAATGATATTTTATATGGATTTTTAAATTTAAATCAAAAGTACAATTGTATTTTATTGGAACATTACGCAGATCTGAACAAGTTCGAAATATCTATAAAAAATAGTTGCTTTTTGCAAAGTATTCTACCAATTATTCAATCACGAGTAGAATATTTAACTATTACTGATATTAATTCTTGTTTCTCATTAGATTTATTTCCTAATCTCAAATCAGTAATTATTTCCACTGCATTTCCAATTTACACGGATGAAATAACTTCAATCACGACAAGTAACCAATTCCGTAAATTAACTACATTGAAAATTCATAGTAAAATTTTAAACCGAAACGTTTGGTCGGATACATTTTGCATATATCAAGCCGTATTTTATCATGAAAACGCCTTTAAAACATTTGAACTTTCATCAAACTTAGATATAAGAGTACTGGAAAATGCTATTAATGTAAATATTCAATCATTAACAATTCAGTTATCATATATTAGAAGTACACTAATTCTATTGGAAAATACGCCGAATTTAAAATATTTCGATCTTACTTTATCTTCATTATACCCTATCGATCCACTGAAAAAAGAGTTCGATATTACACATATTAAATTAAAAAAACTACTCATCACATTAGGAAGCTCGATTAATGAAAAGAATTTTCCTATCATAGCATATTTTATTAAACAATTTTCAAGTTCATTAATTCATTTATCATTGAATTTCAATTCGATTCAATTGAAAGAAAATCAATTTGATGGTTTTATACTTCAACGACAATTATTAAATTCGATGACACAATTGAAAAATTTTCATCTTCTTGTGACATTCGATAAAGAAATAACAGAAATCGATACTCTACTATCAACATTTCAGAATCAATTTTGGTACGATCATCATTGGATAGTTGGTATTCACAGACAACATTTATTTACATTACCATTTCATTTTAAGAAACTGAACAATTTTATTGATTTCGATGAAATTAAATTAAGTAATTTGAAAACGTCATCATTTTTATCGGTATGGCCACATGTAACATCGATCGATTTGTCTCAATGTAACAATCCGGATTTAAATTTAATCAAACAATTGAAAATGAATATGCCTAATTTAACAACAATGATCTTGAATTCTGAATTAATAAATAGTTTAGATACAGATGAAAATGTAGCATTAGATAATGTTAGTACTATTCATTGTAAAGGTGAATATCTTCAGAATATTAAGCAATGGTTAATTAAGATTGTTCCGAACACAAAACATTTAGTTTTATCGTATGAACCACAATCTGCAACATCTTCTTCAAATCGAACAGTATATTTACATAAACTTGATGCCTATTTTCGTGGTCAACGAACGACAAGAGATTATACTTATTTTTTGAATATTCAACATGTTGAAATTAAATTCATTTTACACGATGTTGAAGATATATACAGACATGTTTTACGTCTTGTTCGGGAATTTTTGGAAATGTTCAAGAATTTGAAATCTTTTATAATTGAATTTCATACGAATTTTTCCAACTATAACCGTATACCATTTGCAGATTTAAACAAAATGATTGAATTATTAAATATGGATAGAATTTCGCAGAAATATCATATGAAACATGTTTACAATTATATTCAATTTATCAAAAAGACTTGAGAATAATCTATCATTGTATAAACAAGAGAAAAGATCTTTAAAAATGAGTTTATAATAAAAAAAAAAGAAAATTGCATTATTTATTTTATCATTGTACCAGTAGATCGTGTTGTACTGAACACACACAACGAAATCATCAAAGAATTAGGAGAACTTTTATTAAGAACAATGATTTTATTGTTTGCAAATGTTCTATCTATAATAATCTACAAAGAAATGAAGATTATAGATGAGTGTGGGTGTGTGTCTTTGTTCTCTTATCTTGCGTTGACTCACTCCATCAGAAACTAACAATAACACTCACACCTTTCTATTACTATTGGTAAGCATAACAAAGTTACATTTTAATGTGAGATAACAAGATCTCACTTGAACACTCGATTATATATTATTGTCAATGATTTCATAGGAGATTGGATTTTTTAAATTTTTCATTGAGATATTCTAAAGTGAATTGTAAGAGACAGTCCATAGATGATCAGAATGTAAGGATGAGCATAAAACAAATTTTGACATTCACATGTTTTTTTTAATGAAAGAATGCGAACTGTATAATATAATGATAGTCTTTAACATAGTTACATTCCATTTTCACTGAAATAAATAAACAAGTTGTAATAATACTCTGACAGTTTCAAGTAAACGAGTAAAAGTATAATTGACTACAATGTCGTATGAGTAATTCTCGTTGTGTATAATATAAATATCTATTATTATCTAATATTACTGCAACATAAAGATTATCTATAATGGTTTAGACTTTTTTTTTCATAGAATCGTAAATACTGAATATAGATTAGTTTTTAAAAATCAATGAGTTTCTTAATTTTACATTGGTTTGAAGTCAAAGAAAAAATGATCAGATTTTATTTTTTTACTCTTGGGTCAACAGATATTTTTATAATAAAACATTCTTTTCTTGCTCTATTTTATAAGTCTCCTTCATGAGAAAATTAGAAACAGTATTAATTTCATAGTGAGATAGAGTATAATAGAACTCTGAAATATGCGTCAAACAAAAAACATAATAAACCCTAGAAAATGATCTTCTTACTGAATTACTTTTAAATCTTCACTACATAAGATAATTCAGAATGTGACATGCATACAAAAAAAAAGATTATATTAGTCATATTTGCGAAGGTACTTTAGTCAACATAATTCATTGATATAATTTTTTTTTGATTAATGCGTACGTGTCATATTAACAGAAAAGACATTGAAGAGTGTCATCAGTAAATACAAGGTAAAACTCTTAAACAAACAACGTAAATATTCAGTACGCAGTAGATATTTCAATCATGATGAACCAAGTTGGATTCGTATTGAATATAATTACACTTAGTATTGATATATTTACATGTTTGATCTCATTAATAATCTTTATTACGATCATTAATTATCGTTGTCATAATCATATAAAACAAGAAGATAAAATAACATTTATTCTTTGTACTAATATCTATCCATTGACTATGATCTATACAGCACTCATGGTTTTAACTAATATTCAAACACTTTTAGGTGATCTTTATGGACATAATTCCAATTCATCATTATGTATATTTTTGGGATATTTTTCTACTGTTCTTCTCAGTATGTTATATTGGGCTTTTGTCAATCAGGTAATTATTGATGATGTTCTTTTATGAATTTTTCTTCGATTGAATTTTTTATTAGGCATTTTATCGTCTTTGTCGAATTGTTTATACAACATATATATGGCTTCAATCTTCCATGTTATATATTCTGTTACCATTTATTGAACTAATTTTAATTTGTATTCTTTTAAGTCCAGTTCTTTTCTGGAATGATATTATATATTTACCTAAAGAAAATTATTGTTTCGTAACAATGACAAATGTCCGAGGTGTACTTTGGCTTTTATTAAATGCTTTTTTTCTCCCTGTTAGTTTATTACCATTGATATATTTACGTATTACAAAATATCTTCGTCAACAATACAATTATCAAGCATATATCGTTCAACAACGACAAAAGCGAGACTTACTAGTCATTCGACGTATTCTAATAACTGCTGGTTTATTAATCGCTCTTGGAATACCATCGACTGTGCTTGCAATAATTTTATTTATTACAGGTGAAGAACATCCTCTTTTCATGCGTATTGAATTTTGTTTGGTTAGTATAACATTGATGGGAGAATGTTTATCGATGGTTATTATTACACCACAACTAAAAAATATAATTATAAAGAAAATATAATTTAAAATAATTATTTTAGACAACTCAGTTTTAATATAAATATCTGATAAAGCATCAAATAAAACTCGATTGATTATAGCTAGAGTATATATATACGAAGGGTGTGGGCGTGCAGAGAGAAAAGGTGTATATACCCACATCCACCCTAAATGTCTGATGAAATATCTTCATAAATAAGCATCTATATGTTAACCATTTATTTCTCTGATTACACAACAAAAAATTCATCTTTTAGAGTTCATTTTGTATAATATGAATTGTTTAATGTTGGTCTGCAGCTCGAACAATGTTTTGGATTGGTGTGACACGATTTTTGAATATAAAAATACCGTGTTGGAGGTTGAACTTAGCAAAACAAAACTGACGTAGTTCTTTAAAAGTAAGTAAAACAATTGTTGAACTAAAAGTGTAGTTCATATAGACGATGAACGTAGTAATTGCATCGATGTAAACAGAATAGGTAAGATTTAAAATAGTCTGGAAGAAATCATAGAGGACCCATGGAGACCATGTCAGAATAAACCATATAAGAAACATGTGAAGAGAAAAGAGAAGACGACGATGATTTCGCGTGCCAACCTGTCTTCCTTGTCGACCACGTAGAATATATTTTCGAGACAAAATAGCGCTAATGACAGACAGAGAAGTAATTAAAACGAGAAAATATGGTACAAATGTGATAAGTAGATCAAATAATTCATAAATATCACGCGCATACCAGAGATCACATGTCTGAGTTGCCGAAGGATCATCGATATTAATAGTCGATGCTCCATTGCGCATGATAATCGGATAATAAAGGCAAGGAAAGATGATGGCTACACACAGACCAATATAGTGAAGATAGATAGCAAAGGAATAACGTTGATGATGACCTCGATGAAAAATAAAAGGTTTCACGACAAGAAAGAATCGTTCAATCGAAAGTTGCGCAATAAGAAAATTATTGATTTGTGTTGGAATGTAATCAAGATAGACGGTGAAATCACACAATGAAGTACCACCCATAGGTAAACATCCATTACTATAATAGAAGTAAAGTCGTATTGGTCCTTGTAGAATAGAGAGTAATACTTGAGCCATACAACTCAATAAAAGTGCATGACTACTGACATCAAAGACTTTTTTCGCTCGAAATATGAAGGTAATAACGAAAATAATGTTGAGTAGGACTCCAAGTGGAACAGTGATACAGCTTATACCAAACAGAATGCGATACATAGAAACGAGATCATAACCAAGATCATCTTTCACCTTGCATTCTACGATAGTTAAAGTTGTATCGTTATTTACATCCATGTACACAACTAGGATGATAGAAAAATACGTGTTATTGAGTATAAAGATAAACAAATAAACTCTTTTTCTTATGCGACAAAATGGTTTGAGTGCAGAATTACCAAGAGAATATCTCTAGAAAAAAAGAAAGCGCTTGCTGTGAAATTCATTATTATCGATTCATTCCGAAACATGCTGTTTCTCATTTAGGTAATTACACACTTTTCATGCATATGCAAAAGTATATGTAATTGAATACTTGTGAAACACGATTATGTGCGCGTGAAGAAGCCGAGAAGATCTTTCATTCTCCTACTTAAAATATAATCACCAGAAGTCATTTTACTTCATAAATTAGTTGAAAAACAACGTGTCAATTGAATAATGTAAACTGCTTATTTTTGTTTTTATTTGTACAGATCAACAAAAGATGAACGTCAACGTCTATCTTACGAATAGAACCTTGACAATTATTGTTACGAGAGAGGATATTGCCGAAAATTTGAAAGTAAAAATTCAAAACAAAGAATTATGTACAAGTAGGACAAATGATGATATTCTAATCGTTCATCCGAATTGGGCATAATAATAGTAATTTATTTTGAGCTAGTAACTTGATTTTAGTTGTTTTAAAAAAATAAAAATTTATATTAAATATTGATTGTAATCAGATTTTTACAACAGTTCTATACTTGACTTATTATATTCTTTCTTGTACTCTATAGTTTTTCTTCTATACATATGTTCTTATTCAAGCATATGTGATACGGAATCAAAAAAAGACATTATTGAGTTCGAAGGGCAAAACCGATACTAAATATATCTTTTAGTTAGAAAAAAGAAAAGATAATATGATGGGATATTTCCTTTTTTTTGTATGACACATAAGTTACATCCTTGTTACATCAAAGAAGATAAGATTTTTTTTTCTCCATTCTCCCATTGATACATCAATATCATTCATAGGTGATGAAAGCACAAAGAACAACTTCTATTTATACTATAACACAAAATGAGGCAGTGTCATAATCTTTTCTCATATTATTTACAATGATGAAAATTGCATTGTGTATATCTCTCGTATTTCTGTTCAATCTGATTAATTTACACAGAATCTTAGCAAATCCGCTCACAACATCTACTGATAGCACTGATTCGGATAATTCTACAAATTTCACTAGGTATGATTATCCTTATTTCTATACAGTAGCTAAATGAAAAAATGTTCTTAGTATTGAAGCAGAAAATATAACTACCATTATTGAAGCAACAACAACAAGTGAGAATGGTACATCCGATCAAATAACAACTGTTGAATCTTCTACTATCGATACAAATTTGACAACCATTACTGATATAGAAATAACAACAATTGCATCGATTCATATCACAACTGAAAATGATACATCAACAGTGATAGATATAGGTATTGATATTACAATTCAGATTTTAAGTATTGAATACATTTTTTTAAATCTAATTTAGAAAATGCAACTCAATCCTATATTACTGAAGGCAAGTGATAGAATATTATAGATCATAGATATAAATATTTATTTTATTGAATAGAACAAGTCACAACACAAACACCAATTCAATTAACAACTGCCGGTCGAGTTAATCTTCAAGTTGTTATCAGTCCTACAACACTCCAAGTACAATATGGACAAACTTATGAACTTATTTGTAGTGTTTATGGTGGTGATGCAGACACAGCTATTTATTGGATTCAAGAAGAACCAGAACGAGTAAAATTATTTAATAATAACATCGTTTCACGTTTTTTTTAATCATTGTAGCGCTATGCTCTTACTGAGACAAATGATAAACACATCACAGCGTCAGAAATACAATTAAGATCAAGTATTAGAATTGATGATCGAAGTAAAATTGGTAAATATACATGTATGGCACAAACTGCAGATGGAAATAGTGATACAAGTATTCTTACGATGCAAGAAGATCATAATTATTATCGACAACCAAGTTCTGGTTCACAAAATTTAGTTATTGTTGCACCGGATATGGCTGATAATGATTATGTTGAAATTCAATGTACAGGTGCAGAACCAGATGATGCAGGAAAAATTCAATGGTATTTTAATAATCGAGTATGTGTTGATTCTAATTGAAGCATGTCTTTAAAATATTTGCTGTTAGCTTCTTCATGATGAACAACCATTGTTTCCACGTGGAAAAACTCTTCATATTCGTCCTATTACAAAACCTTATTTAGGACATTATCGTTGTTCAATTCCTGATAGTGGCTATACAGATGCAAATAGTATTCTTACATTTTCAAGTAATTAATTCTAATTAAATAAAGAAAAAATATTCTATTGAAATTATATCTCTTTAAGCCGAACCTAGTCATGATGTTCATCCCGTCTTTAGTCCATCAAGTCCATTATCAATTGATGAAGGTGCAAGTCAATTAATTGAACCTCCAGCTGGATATTATCATGCTCGTTGGACACGTAGTAATAGTGAAGGACTTCCATCGGGTATTTATCAAAGTGGTAATAATTTACAAATCAGTAATGCACGTTCTGATCAGTCGGGAACTTATAATTGTGAATTATATAAAGTTGATGGTACATCTATTAATATTCAATATGAAATTAATGTACAACATAGACAAACATATCAAACACCTAGTAGTAAGTTTTAGAATAAAATTTAAACTTCAATTTCTTTTCTTTTCTTTTCTTCTATGTGGTCTACCAAAAATAAATATTTATCCAAAGACAATAAATTTAGTCGAAGGTCAACGTATGATTATTCAATATACAATTACTGTATGTAGAATATAAACGAAAAATAAATAAATTTCTTTACTCGTAGTCATATGAACCAATTGAAATTATTTGGAAAAAATATACTGATCAAGGCTATCAGCCGCTTTCATCAGCCTTTACAGTTGAACCAAATCGTCTTATTCTTCATTATGCTACATCTGATTCGGTTGGTACTTATCAGATTACGGTACGCAATTCACATGGTGAAGTTCAACAAGAGTTACGTGTTAATGTTGAATCACGACATCATCATCAACATGTACCAGAACGACATCAGCAATATGTTCCAGAACGACAACAACAATATGTTACAGAACGATATCAGCAACACGTTACAGAACGATATCCGCAACAACAAGAACCTGTTGAAGTAACTGTTGAACCAAGTGAAATAACCATTGGATTTGGTGAAAGAGCAATTGTTACATGTCATGTTAAAGGTACTCAACAATATAGAGTAACATGGGGTAAATATGCACATGATACACGTCTTCCTGATTATGCTCAGGTATGTAATAATAATTGAAATTCATTGATATGACTATTTTCTTTTGTTTTGTTTATTAGCAACAAGGAAATACCGTTATGATCGCACCAACTGCTGATACACGTAGTGAACAAATGTATTTTCAATGTAAAGTTGATGTATCAGGACAAACTGAACCACATCATGCTTATGCAACGATTAATATTCGTGGTAGACAAAGAAAAAGAAGAAATGTTCGTAAATAAATATGAATGTGCACTTATTAAAAAACATTATCATTTATTTCTGCTTTCGATTTTATTCAGTAGTAGTCTATATTGATCTTAATTTTTATTTGTATCTATCTTTTCTTCATATTGTAAAACTCTTTTGTTTGCTGATTGCTCAATAGTGTTTACCATTACGATGGTTCTAATTCAAAAAGAATCAATGAAAATACGACGTTTTACCCAATTTGCTCTAAATAAATTGATAAAATTAGATTAAATTTATACCATTTTAATTTAAATTCAATGATCATATTTTTTTCTAAAATATTCTTCACTAAGATATTGATATTATGAGAAAATCAACATATGTCAACAGACGCGATGTATTCTCATCACAATCAATATAAATGCTATATTTCTCTCTTATCGAAAACAATCCAACTAACAAATATATATTTGTAATCACTAATTTCTCTGCAGTAGGATGATCACGATAGTACCATTATTATTTCTTCTCAATGCTTATGTTACTCAATGTGTTCAGCCCTATTTTCCATCACAAATTACATTCACCTTTATGGATAGATGGGGTCCAATGACATTCGCAATCGACGAAGTTAATCAACGAGCTTACAGACTGTTCGATCACGGACAAGGTGATTATACATATTTGATGAAGAATTTTCCTTTTCCAATTCCTGATTCACCTCAATCAAAATATTACGTGCAACTGATTGCGACCTATCCACCACTGGTCAACTGTGTGTACGGAACATTTTGGAAGTATGGTATATTCTATGATAAGTATTTTCCTGATCACTGGTATCATAACAGCAGTTCAGTCAGAATTGAGAATTATATAAAATTTAATTACAAAATGATCCATTCGGATGATGAGTCAGTATTAGAAGATTATTGGTATTCAGATGAAAAATGTTCGATTAGTAGTGGAGAACGTTATCCATGTGAAGAAATCTACTTTACAAAAAATACAGATATACCATTGAAAACAGTTCGCATTGACAACTTTCAAGAAAGGATACAAACAGAGTACAAGGTGTTATCAATTGGTAAACCAGATGAAAAATTATTCGAACCAATTCCTCTGGATTGGGCATACAAGTGCTACGATCTTGCTCTAGGTGTCGTATTAAATGCAACAACTTTGGAATTGAAAGTAAATGAAAGTGCTACAATTGAAATCTATTTAAGTACTCCACCACATCGAATTAATGGGAACGACACAGTCATTATAGAATATAAGCCATCTATTTATTCTGTTTGCCCGAAATGCGTGCGATTAGTACCAAAGCGATTGGTTTTCAACAGTGATAACTTTCGTCATCCACAAAAACTTATTGTTACTCGCATTAAAGACAGTGATGCTATATGGATTGATCCGACCTTCATAGGCGGCGCATATGAACAGGTTATGGCAAGTCTTTATAATATAAGACTAGCTCCATCCATTTGAGGGACTGAGCAAGTCCGAGTATAAAATATACTCTAAATTATTTGTTATATCTTGAGGGTGTGGGTGTGCGTGTAAGTGTGTGGGTGCGGATGCTTCTTCTTCAACCATATCTACGTCCACCCCATACTCTCAAATATTAGGATTTTTGCGATTAACTGTGACGTATCCTATTGATACATGAGGCTCTCACGGCGTATACTAGTCGTCCATAAGTAAGAATCATGATCAAGTGGCATCCACACCCTCAAGATTACTATCTCTGTTTCACGACCACCACACTCGCTCACACCGACTTTTTCTGTTGTGAAATAAATAACACATAAATGACATATGAATTTATTTTCTTTTTAATAAAAAATTAATTCAAAGTATAGTTTGATTTTCTGTAGGTTCTTCTATTATTTTCTTTCTGCAACATGGTGGTCGTTGAATGATTCTGTTAATAATCCATTTTAATGCTGTGATTAAAGTAAGTTTTAAAACGAGAAAACCCAAAGCAAATAAACCAAGTATAGTTGTCGTAAAGAGTACACCATGAAATATCATTTCATTTCGTCGTACAATTGGTTGTTGTTCATTGACGACATAAAACTGTGTTTCACTAAATATTATTGTCAATGTATGTTGTGTACCTAAATAACGAATATAATCACCTTGTTGATTATAAGCAAGAAAATCACTAAGTAATGCATAAGTAGATGTTGGAATCCATATTCCGCTATAAAGTGATGCACTATTATAATCCAATGTATCTGTTATATTAATCGTTTTAGTTAAAATAAAAGAAATTTCAGTATTTTGACTAATAGTTTGATTATCTGTTGAAAATAATTGACAAAATTTCAATTGTTGAACTGTATATAATGAATTATTACTTGTAGAATTATCGCCCATTAGACATATGTAAACACCACCAATATAAGATTGTCCTAGGCAAAGAAAAACATTGAAATATTAATTTTTTTTAATTTTAAAAAATAAAATAATACCTGTTAAATTCAATTGAATATTCATTAAATGATAAGGCATACTAATAGATACAGAAAGTGTAGCATTATCCGGTTGTAATATACAGTTTGTCAAAGAAAAAGAAACAGCATAGGAGCCAAAATTGTTCTGAGCAAAAACATCGTTACATGTAAAACCTGTTTGAACAAAATTGATTTCTAAAGTAAAATTTTGTGAATCGAGCATATCAAAAATAGGTTGTTCATCGTCAGATTTAATTGTCGTTAATAATTGTAAACCTGAACTAAATTGAGCATTTCTTAATGATGAATCACAAGCAAAATAAGCATTATCTGATGTTTCTGCTGGATAGAGTTTAAGAAAAACTGAACCAAACCAAAAACTAAAGATAATAAGAACCATAACAGCAAATGATACAAGACCACCAAACCATAATTCACCATTTCCAATAAGATCAGTTTGACGAAAAATATATTCAAGACGTTGAAAATGTTTCTTTTTACCTGGTGAATAATAAAAACTAGCCATGATAATAAGAATAACAAACGAAATAGATAATGTTATTAATGACCAGAAAAAAGGTGAAATTAAAACACATCGAATTGGTGTTGTTTGCATACTAAATATATTCTCAATAAGAATATCATCAAATGATGTACTTGATGGTGATGAAAGATAAGCATAAGCTTGACTTAAATCAATAATACTCGATATATTAACATCATTGACTGAACCAAGAGGACAAAAAGAATCATTCAAACAGGGAAGACATTGAATAGTTGGCAATAATCCATTATTATTACTCTTTGTGTTTGCTGGACACACGATACATGGTGTTGGACCTGAAATACTTTTATAAGTACCTAATGGACAAACTTCAGGAATATAACTTGGACTATAAATATCATGTGATCTTGAAAAATAACCTGCATCGGCTGAAGAAATCAAGAGTACAGTTCCATCAGTAGTCTGTACCATTAGTTCATTATCGTGTGTTGTAGCTAATCGAATGAATACTGGAGGTGTATCTGTCCATTGATCGAATGTTTGTTGATTATTAGGAAATGCTGAAATAACACTACCCGAAGTTGTATCAATTAATCGTACTTGAGATTGTGCCCAAGGAAGTGTAGGAACATTAGCTAGAAGTAAAGCAGCTTGTGTACCATCATTATCAATCCAACTTGTTGAACGTGCTGGTTGATTGAAAGTTTTAATTAGTATTAGATCTGTACTATTGAATGAGAAAAGATATGTCGTAGCCGATTGTGGTATACCAATAAGAACTTGTTGAGTTGAATCATGTATTGAAATAGACATAACATAATTAAATTGATAGGTAAAAGCAAAATTTGCACGAATAAATTGAATATTTTGAGTAGAAAAAGTATAATTTGTGATAACAATCATATTTAATGGAGGATTTAACTGAACAAGATAAAGAATAGGTAGTACTTTGTTGACATCAGATTGATAATAACCAACGACAAGAGCTATTTGAATTCTATCATTTGTTTCACTAATATCTAATGCATGTGGTTCAAAATAGATTGATGGTAAAATTTCTTCCCATGTTATATCTTGAACATATTTATTTTCAATATCAAATATAAAAATACCATTTGAAAGAAAACCATAGGCATACTTTCCTTGAAGATCCATTTGAAGAGTCGACATTTCCGAGAGTGTATTATTCCAAACTTTTACGTCATATTCACCTTGATCGTTTGATAATCTTTTATCACATTGACCTGCTGAATCATTTGTATTATCGATTTGTGGAAAAGTAAATAGACCCAATATTTGATTGGCACCTGTGGAAGAATTTGTACGTAAATAAACAAATGACATTTGTGTAGAATTTTGATGTCGACCAACGGCTACATTCATTACAAAATCATCGATATAATTATATCCATAATTACAGGAATATTCTGCTCCAAAAGGAGTCATGATAACTGAATAACGATTAAGATCATTTTGAGCAAGAACAACAAAATAATCATTACTAGCTAAACGTGTTCCATATGCATCATAATCATATCGATCCAAAACAGTATCTTCAATAGTCAATGGAATAAAAATAAGTAGAATTACAACGAATATGTTAATCATGTATATGATTTTCTTTTAAAATGAAAATTGCCTAAAATTCTGTTATATATATACACCAATATTATTTATTTGAATTCATGACAAAAAATATTAATCATTGAATATGAATACAAAAACTATGTTTATTTGATCATACCTTAAAGCTACACTTCGAAATAGTGAGTTATGATATATATACATGTACTTTAAACATAATACGTATTATAGATGGATGCATTGAAAAAGAAATGAATCATAGAACGCATAAGGTTTCACTGTACATAAGAGCATAGGAGAATACTTTTGTACTTGATTAGATTTTCATACGATAACAACAATCTCAGCAGAATCTAGAATATATGGGTGTGGGTGTCTACAATTTCTATTCACATCCACTCACCCTCAAGATGGTTTGATCTTTTCTTTATTTTCTTCGTCAACTAGTACAACTATATTTTATGTCTGATCAATAAAAAAGAAATACAATCAAAATCGTTTTTTTATCCATTCTTCAATATTTTGGTTTACTTCTTGAAATTTCTCTTCCATGATCCAATGAGTAGCATCTAATTCAATCACTGTCAAATCTTCGATATATTGTTTTTGAGCTGCATATAGAGCAGGAATGCCAACAGCATCTCTCAATCCAGGAATAAAGAGAGTGGGCATCTGTATATTTGAATCTAAATTCTTCTCATCTTCTGCATTGACGTTGTTGAATTGTGCTTTGTACCAGTTTAACTTTCCCTTCATACCTTCTAATACATAGCCGAGATAGACGTTGTAGTCACTGTCTGTTAAATAACTTGCACGACGAGACAATGATTTTCTGTTCTGTAACCATTCTTTCAGTTTACCTGTCGGTGTAAAATCTGAACGCCATAATGCTAAAGCATCTTCGGATGGTGGAAAGCAGATATCGAGAAAGCTATTGACATTTTTCTCAATGAGTTGGGCAGCATCGTCATCAAAACCAAAAAATTTCCAATATCCATAAATATCGTAGCCAACCGCCTCTTTCGCATTGTTAATGGTTCTATCGATATCGACTATACCGGGTGGGTTATACCCGATACTGAGAAGAATCAATGCTTGAACACGTTCTGGGTAATAGAGAGCAAATCGAGAAGCAAGTATTGTACCAAAATCATGACCAACAACAATAACAGGTGTGTTGATTGTCAAGTAAGAAAGAAGAGTAACGAGGTGAAGAACCATCTGCTTTGTTTGATATTCTTGAAAGTCTGAAGGTGAATAGGTTTTGCCATATCCCATGAGATTAGGCGCTAAACAACCATAGCCAAGCTGATTAAAATGCTTGATTTGATGTCGCCAACTATGCAGAGATGAAGGAAATCCATGTAAGAAGAGAATGGTGCTTGTCTGATTTGATGTATATGGTACATGAACAAATTCATAATTGATACCAGGGGAGATAGTCAATGTTTGTGTCAACGATGTCATAGTGAAAGTAAAATACGAATGTTTTGTTTTTTTGAATAGATTCGTTTTATATCATTTACAAAGATAATCCTTGTTACCTTTTCAATAAATATCAACGATCGATCGAATATCGTCGCATCATACTGACAAAGGTTGAATAAATTGTCCTGGATTTTCTTTGTTGTCATAAGAATGCAACGCTATTATTGAAAAGCAGCGCATACGTCTCTCTGCATTGAGTCAACTTGAGGGGTGGTGGGTGTGGGTTCGGAGGAGGTTTAGGTTGTAGGTGAGAGTATCTTCATTGACCGTGTATTAAACCCACACTCTTGGCTAAGACTATTATATTCAAAAACGCTAGAAATAAACGAGAATTTAGATTATGGAACCACATGAAGCCTTTTATTTAGAAGTAAAAATATAGTAGATTAATAATAGTGAATGTTAAGAATAATGCGTGAATAAAGAAAAGTTACAGAAAAGGGAATAAAGTGAAAATTATTCATAAATGTAGATAATCTTTAAGTTAATGCTTGCCCAAATTGTGTATTGTTACACCTAGTCAGAATCGTTTGACAAAGCGGGTTCATTAAAGAAGTGAGTGTAGGGAACATAAAAACAAGCAGCTGGATCATTTTCGTCTAAACCCTGGATATTTCCGATCAAATTTTCAATATAATTTGAGTTTACACAATATCCAACACAATTAGTAACCTGGGTGTATTCGAGATCAATAATAGAGCCTTGTAAAACAGGTCCGTCAAAAATACTTCCATAGTTTTTCTGATAACGTGATTGAATTGCATGTTGATTATTTGCGTCACTAAGAAAGAAGCCGACGAGCTCATTCTGGTCATTGTAATTCAAATGTTCTTGATTTTTGTTATTAAAGTTGACTGTTACATCGATTTTAGCTTCAAGCGGACTTGTCAAGGTAGTTGTGCTTGAAGAAAAGTGATATTCACCTGTTTGATTGTTAGCTGAAAAAATGATACTTCCTAGATTCATTAGACGGCTTCCGTAAGGAGGTGCCTGATAGAGATTACCAGCGATAGCAGATGATGTAAAGTTAAAAGCAGTTGCTAAGATTTCCCTTCCTAATGTATTGTTGTATTCGACGATTGTATAAATTAAAACACACTGAAGATAGTTAAATGTAATTGATCGATCCGTTCCTGCACCGTCATAATATGCTGACATATTCTGAACTGACATAACAATGTAGGATTGATTTTTGAATTGTGCAAGCGTAAATCGTGGATCGATGTAACTTTGCAAGTCTGTGTGATTGACTTTATAGAGAAAATAGACTGACGATATAACTTCATATTCATTGTAAGTCAAAAAATTTATTATGCTATTATCGATATCAGTAGGCTGCCCATTCAGACTACTAAAGGTACATATAAGAATGCAGATGGTAGTAGATAATAAGAACAACATCTTTCTATATCTAATTGCGTAGTAGAGTCTTTGTTCCTAAATGAGAACAGTGATATAAAAACATGTCTTGATTAATTAAGTTTCAACTATTTTACAGTCAATCGGAAATATTTTTACATATGGATAATCCTGTGCGTCGTCTCTTTCAGATAATGTAACAGTCATCTATCTCTAAGATGCAACGGTGTATTAATCGACTTATGAAACATCATAGACTAAGATATAAAGTAAGTTCTAACGAAAATTATTACCTACAAATTTTCATCGCATGAAACCTATTATAAAAATATACGATGTCACGCTTAAAATTTCTCATCGTACTTACTTGTTAATATTCGTTTCATGTAATGAATATGTAGCAATATTTTTCGTCTATTTACATGTATAATTATTAATCATAAAAGAAAAAAAAATCATGATAAAATAAAACTGATATTCAGTCCATTCTTTTTTTTCTATACATATATTAATCGGATGTCTTTTTGATCTGCTTTGATAGGACGCATCTGTGTCTAACGTCAAATATTCATTGTTAGAAATAAGGTATATTCAAGTCTGTTCTCTTTCTACATAAGAAAAAAAAATAAGGATACGATTTGCAATCATACTTTATATGTTAGTATTTTTCGTATGTTGACTCACTATTCTTGTGCATATTTATTTATTCTTTGCATTAACGCACTTGAGTAACTTTTTCTATTACTCATTTCGATTTATTCTATGGTTGCTACCTAATAGTACGTTAATATTTAGCAAATTTTTGTTTTCAATGAACTTTCGAAATTTATTGTATTTAATAAGCAATTGCAGATTTTAATATCACTTTTCTTTTGATAAATACTATTATTCTACGTATAGAAAGAATATTAATGGATCAAAAATGCGTTGTTTTTAGGATAAAAGTTCACCATAATTGTTATAAAAAAATTAGGACAATTAGTATTAGTTTTCTAAATAACTATTCGAATTAGAAGAAGTAATAAAAAAATGAGTTTTTGAGCACAACATTTTTTAATATAGAAAATAATTAGAATTTATTTCTTAAGACTTATCAGATCTATCATTAACATAAACAACTTAAGGCCATATCCTGATATATGTATCTAGGAATGTAATTATGTGTGAATGCATATTTATCATCATCGTTTACATTCGTATTCGAACAATGTTTTTTTCTAAAAAAATAATATTTATGAATCAGTTCTTATTGTGACACATATAAATACAAAAAAGTCACAAATTTATTAAAAGTATTTATTTTTCTCAGATAAGAGTATGGGTGTGTTTATTAATTGGTAAAACAATTCATTTTACTCTTAAATATTATATAAATTTCGTTTCCTTATAGCCAAACAATTGAATATCATATAAGACAAAATAATGATGTCATAAAATAAAAAGAGATACGAACGAACACGCATTGATTTATTCTATGGTGGCGACAATTAAAAGGAGGAACGATTGTTTTAATGAGTCATGTTTGCATGTTACAATTATTTCGATTTATTTAAAATATTAAAACTAAATAGCATCTATTTTAAATGAATAATTGTCTTGATTTTATCTGTTGATAAGTTAAATAATGATAGAGAACAAAATAATTGTTATGGTATATTATTTGAAATAAACTATAAATTTAGTGCAATTAATTATGCTATAATAAAGCTCTTCGTATGCTCTCTGAGGAGTAATCTGATAAAACTGACGAAAGCCTATGATTCATCATCTTGTTTTTGTATTTTCTAATGAATATATGACTTCATTTCTCATCTTGAGGGTGTGGATGGGTGTGTGTGTGGGTTCGGATGAGGTTTAGGTTGTAGGCGAGAGTATCTTCATTGACCGTGTATTAAACCAACAGCCACACACACACACACACACACCCTTTCTAATCGACCAGTACGTACCTATCTGAAACAATCCATTATTAGAATCGTCAAATTTTAATGTTATTGTGAACCGAATCAAGCGTTAATTATGAGCGATCGAATTCTGTCAGTCCATCAAACACTCTATTATCTTGTTCTCTTTTTAATTAAAAATAAGCAAACAAAAATCAAAATATCGACAGGCTTTTTATTTTCTTGTCTTGCTCCTACGTTGAATAACAACAAACTATCAAAATAAAATAAAAGATGCATGAATACTCTAAAATATTACTCTGAACAATTAAAACAAATCTTGAGAATATGAGTAAATATCTCTTCTTGATTATTTCAAGCCAAATAATGTAGAGTATCTTTGTCGTTTGAATCTCTTTGAAAATATTCTTTCTCAATTAATATTTCAATATACTTCTAAAGTAACGACAACGAATATTTTCAATGTAATCTCAAGAAAACTTACTTTGATTAAAGATATATCTGGTTTAAAATTTGAAGTTAATTGTTGAATAACTTGTTGTATTAATAGTGAATGTTTTAGTGTTCGTTCTTTTTTCATTATTCGAACGAGAGCAGCTTGAATAACCATTTGACGTTCATCAACTGCTGCTGTGACTAAATGACTTTGATCTTTTTGTTCGTTAGGTTTTGATGGAAGATTTAAATTCAATCGAGTTTTGTCACTTAAAAGGATTTCATTTCATTTTTAAAAATTTATTCAAAAGAAAACGTACCTTATGAAATTTTCTGCTAGTTTAATTCGACTATTCAATGTAAGAGGATCGTCAGCTATTAATAATTTACTTTTCAACAAGCCTAAAAGAATCTCGAATAATAATTCTGAACGAATTTGTGTTTTGTCTTGAATTTGTTCTACAGTCCAAATTAATTCTTGATTAAATAATAATAAAATCAGCATTTGATATGTTGATACCTTGTTAATAAAAAAAATGTTTTTTAGATTGAATGTACTAATTTCTTCTTACTTGTAATCGATATTTTTTTGTTGTAAAATTTATTTGTAATTCTCCTTTGGAATATTGATGAAGTAATATAAGTTTTCGACCAGTATGTTTACTAAGGTAAAATGTTGTAAAATTATCATATATAGTTTTAAACTCGATTGGTAAAATTATATCAGATGGATGAGAAAATAACCAAGAATTCGAAGTAAGAACCACAACCGAAAAAAAATTATTTTCTTCAAGAAAATTGTTCGAATAGATTTTACTAGTTTCATTTCCATGTATGTCTTCTTGATAAGTTCGATATTCATTAGTTAAATCGTCACTTAAATGAATATCTTTAATCATTTGTTCAAGTTTTGATGTATATTCATAACCACATTTTTTCTAAATGGAAAAAATAATGAATTTATCAATGGAAATGATATTTTTACTTTAAATTCTGAAATTAATGTTTCTTCATAAGAATCTGATACACTTAATTGATCAATTAAACGTTTTCGTAACATTTTCTGATAAAATTTCATAAAAACATCTTTATCATTGAGATAATTGAAAATAATCTAAAAAAACAACAAAATAAATCATTTGAGAATAATTGCAACTTCAAATATTACCATAATAATATTCAACTTCTCATTCCAGTCATCATTTTCACAGCTTTACTTCTACAAAAAAAACAATAAGTCTCAATTGAATGTTATAATAAATCTATACAAACCCTTTTCTCAGTAATGTATCACAATATCGAGCGAGAATTTCTGCTAATGTCATCGTGATACCAGTCGTTTTTGATACTGGATTTTGATTGGCAAATTTCGCATAACCCTATATTATACATTCGTATTACATTGAATTTTAAATGAAAGAATCTACTTTATCAAAACTGGCAACGAAATGTTGGTCTCCTACGAACGTCTCCTGGATAAGTTTTTGATATTTTCCATGAATATTAACAATTGTTTCAATGTAAAACAATGGATTCTAAATATCATGTTTATAATATATGAGATAGATGATAAACTTACATTAATTAGATCGTCAGTGATAGACTCAATTGCTTTTTGGTAAACATGAGTTTCAATTAACTTCAACAATTCATTTTTTAATTTTGTTAATTGATGAATTGGTTCAAACAACACAGCTAGTTCTATAATAATATGAGAACTTCAATAAATATAAAAAAGATTAGTTTAATAAAGTTTACCTTGATGTTTATTCTCATCTGATACGAGTAATTGAAGTCTTCCTACAATAATATTGAAAATATCAGTTGGTAAAAATATTGTTTCTAATAAGACTATCAGTGTTGTTAATGTTGATTTTTCTTCAGGTAGATAAGTTTTTGCTTGATTAATTTCATAAGTAAAATATTCTGCTACCTGAAATTCGTGAATGTATCTATATCGATTTAATAAAAGTATATCTACCAATTTCAAATATTCCAGTATTTTATCGTATGATTCGATGGCAGAAAATTCTTTTGAGCGATAAAAATCTTCTGTTGTTTGAAGAAATTTATTCTCAAAACTTTCAGTATAAATAGTATTATTCATCATTGCAATGAAGTTTTCATCAACTAAAAGATTTTTCAAATTAACGAAAAAGAAAATTATCTCTTTACAATACAACTGTAGAATACATTTGATCGATTCTGTGTCAACAGGCGAACGATTCTGACGACTAATATCGATTGACGTTAAACATACTTGTATGAATCGTTGAAAGTGTGGTTGTAACACAATTTCTGTCCAAAGTCGATGTGTTAACTATTTGTTGGAAAATTTTTGTAAAGATATTAAAAATAAAATATAACATACCACGTCAATTTTATAGACATCACGTCTTCCGGAGTCAAGTTCATGTTGAATCCAACGTCGAGAAAGATAGCTATAACTACCGTTTAATACTTTAAACAGCCTTTTATAGTTGTAGTGAAGTTCTTTGTAATATTGAAGGATATTTTCATTGGATATATTATCAATGTCCTTGAATAAGAATAATTAGAGAATATTTAGCAAATTGAAGTCGGCAAGCAGAAATTGATCGTACACAGATACTATCCAATTATTGTCGGTAGATTTCTCACGTATGAATGCGACTTAGAATCGAGTTAAGAGTATAATTGATAATCTAATTACTATCATCTACGCACGTACGTTTATTCATGCCGCTTTGTGTGAAAATAGATAAAAAATCTTACCTTCGATACATTGTCGAGTTTGTTCCGTAGATAATTCTCCAAATGCACATATAAGTCTTCTCCTGTTACGGCTGGTTCTTTAGGGACGCGCAATCGATTGGTTGAATAGGCATATGTATTCCCATTGAAACAGTCGAATGTAAGTCTATAATTCACAAATGAAAACAAATCAATAAAGACTAAAGAACTTACGTATATAATTCCATATAGGTAAGAGAAACTTTATCAGAATCATAAATGTTATCAAGATTAAAAATTTTATCAATCAACTCTGTAGTTTTGTTCAAAATAGCACTTTGATTATTTTTCGGCATATCTGTGTTCAGTATAAGAATATTGATGAATGAAATTCTGAAACGGTATTAAATCAGTTTATGTCTTGATTACAATGGAACTATATCTTTCTAATATAAGATAAGTGAACAGCGAAAACAAGACGTAGAAAATTTAAGAGATAAAATAATCATTAGAAATTCTAATCGGATAAATATTAAATTTTACATAAAATGAAAGCGTATCGAAAATGAAGTTTTTTAGTTTAAGTTTGCATTTTGACAGTAATATAAAGTCAATTTATCAGCACTAGCAGTACTCATGCAATTACATTGGGAAAAAACATCAAGCCGCAGGAAAAAACCCAGTTAAGAAGGTAAGAATGGGAGAACGCAAGAGAAATGATATTTCGTTGTGACTCACTACTTCACTCACGGTTAGAGATGCAAGCCAATGGCTTGCCTGGGAGCCACTGTTTGAAATTTGTCTTTTCTTTTTATCCGTCGGCAGCATGACAGAAATGTTTATTTCTTATCAGCGATGGCGGCTCGAGAGTTGGAAAATATCCAGGGAATAAAAAATGATGTAAATTACATAATTTTAATGAAAAATTTACTACAGAAAAATGATGACGGAGACGAAAAAAACGTCGTTTTCCTTCAAAGCTTGTTTGACTGAGTACAGTTCCATTTGATGAAAATGATTATAGTTACAGGAATATAATTGTATGAATATCATGTGATTAATCGTAATATTTCGTCAGGAAAACCAAAATTCACAGGTGCATTAGGGTGTGGGTGCAGGTGAGGAAAAGACGCACATCCACACTCTCAGTTACAGTTAACATTTCCTTAATAGTAATTTTTGGATTAGACTTCCGATCGAGAATGACTAAAACAAAGTGATGAAATGCTTGTTGAATAGCTCTTATATAATTCGTCTAGAAAATAAAATAATACGTAGACTGCTATACTCTAAACATTTTATTATTCTGTAATGATTAATATATATATATTTACACTCGTACAGACTAACCTACATGGTATAAACATCTATGCCTATAATTTCCTTGTTATTAAATTAATATAAAAGGCAGTATATCATCTTGTTTCATTGGTTGAACAGAATAGAATGTATATTATAATATTGCCAGATGTTAATAAATAGAAACTAAGAAAGATATAGAAGTTTTATTCAAAATTCAATCGTTTTGACAAAAAAAAACAAAAAATGTATTATTCTATTTTAACCAACAAGTCCACTACGCCATATGCCAGTAACGATTCGGCTAGGTTTTGGCTCTGGTATAATAAGTTCGGCGAATCGTTTTCGTCCTACTAATGATTCCATTGGTCGACGATTCAACGAAGCCCATTTAAAATATTGTTCTTCACCTGAATCCCAAGCATCACGTTTTACTTCATCAAATTGCTCATTATCTTCTACTGAACTTGATTGCTGATGGATTGATACAGGTATTAGTGAGCGTATAAATTTAGAAGTTTGAACGTTCGATATTACTGAATCATCATTTTTGTTCGTGGATCGATGAATTATATCGTATAAACGATTTGTATGATGTGGATATGAAATAACTAAAAAGAGAGAATCTAGATTTTTATATTACTAATTTTTATTAGACTTACCAGTATCAATGAAAGATAAAATCGTAAATAATAAGCATAATATGATAATTGGCTTCATGACTGAACTGTTGTCAAACAAAATAAAGAATTTCTTTGTATCAAATAACTGAATATGATAATAATTAAAAAAATCTCTCCAACTATTTATAATGATCGGCCAAATAAGGCGTGGTAGAGATGACGTACATTATAAGTTCGAATCATATACGTCATTCAAAAACCATACTCTATAATGATATACGCACGTTGATGTGAAATTCTGAACAGATGGTGACCAAAATAAAACAATTTGCTAAATATTTATTTTCTTTTACAAAGCGCGACTACGTTATAAAAGTAATTAAGAACAAGTTCAAGCTCACTTCTAGTGTTCTTTTTCTGTTATAACAACTATGGGCGTTGATCAATGACGTTATACTTACGTGTGCATAATCGCGTAGTTACATTACCTTTATAAAAATAGCTTGTCAATTTTACGTCATTAATAAAAGATCTTACGACACTTCTTATTAATCATATAACGTAGTCGTTAGTTAATATTTTATTATTACGTAACTCACCTCGCATAAAATCTCTAGTACAGAATGCAGTTGCCCACCTTTTCTAGTTGTATGGTGTGGGTGTGGGTGTGGGTTTGGGTGTGGATGTCACTACTTCTCCCACAACCTTACCCACAGCCACACTCTCGAGAGTTACATTAATATTAATAACTGATTCATTTCATTTGGAAAGTGTTCAAAATTCTTAAAAAATAAATATTTTTTTAGTTTTCATCATTTTATACATTACAATGCAAAAAGGTGACTGATGAACAGCATATGTCAAACTAGCCAAACAAAATAGATTAGCATTTTGTATTAAGAAAAACTAATCAATGACTAGTTTAAGAGTATGAAGATTGGATTCTTGCTTCAATTGAGTTCTCTCATATTTTTTCTCTATTTTCTCACAACGATTTTTACTTAAATTAAAAAACTGTCATATCGTGACCGAGATCCTTTACTATTACATTTAATGTTACTGATACGCTATAAATATATGTAATAATAAATATCTCTTTACATAGGTAACATATCTAAGTCATCTTCGTCTTTGTCAATAAACATTGCTCTCATGAATCAAGCATTAAATTGTTATACTCCTATTCTTCTCTTATTTTTTAGTATAATTCGTAATATCCGTAATATATTAGTATTTATACAAAAAGTCTTTCGAAATAATAGTTGTGTTATTTTTTTCTCCCATCAAGCATTTCTGATACTGTTAAAATCATTACTGATCTTCTTGTTCGTATGCTCAGTAATTTTGGCCATGATTTATCACAAAATTCATCTATACTCTGTAAATTTAGACTTTTCACGATATTTTATTCAGAATACACTGCTGCTTGTTTTATTCGTTTAGCCTGTGTTAAATGATGTCTCACTTCACCACCTAATGTTCACAAATGACATCTAGTTACAAAGAAATATACTTTTTTTTTTTATCTATTATCTTTATTTTGTTTTTCGGATTTATTGTATTCGATGCACTACAATCATGTTATCAATTACAACAAAATATTGCATGTCAAATTGTTGACAGTCTAATGTAGTTTTTATTTGAAATTCTTACACTGATATTAATAATGATTAGTATTTGGATTATTAATTATAGGGTGTGGGTATGGATATAAGGTAATACTAACCACAAGCAAACCCATACTCACCTCCTGAAGATTGATGGAGTCTTGCATAGTTTAGCTATTAATTGATTTTAAGAAATAAGCGAAGATCAACAAAATTTCAAAGAGTTTTTTTTAATCCAGCATATATTGCCTGGCCATATTGAATATTTTCCCGGATCCAATAATTGACATGCACACGTCATTGGATCATAATTACGACGAATGAAAAAGTCTAATATCAGGATAGCACGATCAATGGACAGAGTTACAATTGTCCATTCCATCTGAACATATGGAATTTCCAGTGCTTCAAAGACACGACTACCACTTTGAAGAACAAAACTTTCGCTGCCTTCTATGTCGATTTTCAACAGCGCTCCACGTACACCCCGCGCGATAAATATGGGAAGAAGATCATCGAATGTTATTGTATGCACCAAAAACGAATCGTTTGTAGATGAGTTGTTTTTTGCACGAATAATGTTTGTCTGATTTTGTAAGGATAGAAGTTCTTGACCACCTATGTTTTCTTTTCGCGAGGATAAACGTACTACTTCGCCCGAACGAGTATATATTGCATTCTGAACGAGGACAATTCGATTAGCAACATTAGATAATTCGACGGCTCGATGAATTCGACCGATATTAGGACCAAAACATTCGACAGCTACAACTAGGCATGTACCGAGCCCGAGCCTCTCGGGCTCGGGTAGGCTCGGGGCTCGGTCGGGCACGGGGCTCGGTAGGCTCGGGGCTCGGTTAGGCTCGGGGCTCGGTCAAGGCTCGGGCTCGGTAGGCTCGGGGCTCGATCAGGGCTCGGGCTCGGTAGGCTCGGTCACAACTCGAGGCTCGGTCAAGGCTCGGTGTCAGGTGGATGTAGGAGTGAATTTCTTACATCTGAGCCCGACCGACCCCGAGCCTACCGAGCCCCGAGCCTGACCGAGCCCGAGCCTGACCGAGCCTACCGAGCCCTGACCGAGCCCCGAGCCTACCGAGCCCGAGCCTAGACCGAGCCCCGAGCTTACCGAGCCCGAGCCTGACCGAGCCTACCGAGCCCCGAGCCCGAGAGGCTCGGTCAAGGCTCGGGCTCGGTACATCCCTAGCTACAACAAATCGACCTAGAGCTGCAACATACATTGTATAAGCACCAATATTTGCACCAATGTCAATAAAATCTAAATGTGGATAGCGAAGGAGGTATCGAAGCATTTGTTCTATATGTTCTTCTTCCCAAACTGAATTGTTTTTATGAAATTCATCGCTAACCCAAATATCTGCATTTTTTTCATGTAAACATATGTTAGTACTTACGTAATTGAGAAGTGTCTTCGATTTTATACATGTATTATAAGCATTTGCTGGCATACTCAAATTAACGATATGAACATTCGATGACACTTTATATCCATTTCCATCTGAATGTTTTATCTCACACGTCTTTGTTTGTAACGCGGAGGAGAGAAGGTTAAGAATATATGACGATTTTTCACGCATACCAAAATAAATAAATAAAAGGCCAAAGCAAAGTTGGATGATTATTACAAGGCCAACAATACATTTATTATTCATATTTATTAATGTATCGTCTTCAAAACGCTGCTGCTTCTTCTGAATCCTGTTTCTGAAAAATATAAGTTTCTACAGAAATTTTCAAGATAAAACGGTCGAAAACTTATCGCAACCAGACAGAAACTATTTTTATATAAATTTGTTCCCTTCAAACTTGAGGGTGTGGGTGAGTGTCGCCTGTGTGCCAACAAAATAGCTAGACATCCTTTCAAATAATCTCCCCCCCCCCTTTTTTTGCTTTATCACATTTATTTTTCTTATGTTCTGTATTTTTTCTCTTGTTCTCTTTCTTTCTTTCATGCTCTGTTTCTTTCATATAGTCAGTCTCAACACGAACACTTCGGATGAAGGTTGGACTCAACGTGATGAATAAATAAAGTAGCAATAGAGATCTCTATTTTTCGTTACAGCCTGAGTACTGTAATCATCTCCTATCCACACAAATCTCAAAACTTTTGTTCGCTTTTAAGAGAGTTAATATTCTCTTTCTCGTAAGAGAAGAGTCCAGTAAGAATAAATTGTTTGCTTGCTTGCTTGCTTGCTTGCTTGTCTGTCCGCAGGGTCAAAAAAACATTGAAATTTAATTTTTCGGATACTTCCGGAAAACTGTATGTGGGGGGTAATCGAGGGTGGGGAACTTGAATCTGAGGTTAGTTTATTAAAACTAACGAGTTAATAATCAGTTAATAATTAATATTATTAATTTTTGAAATATTGTCGGAAAAGTTGGACCAAAGGGTAATCGAGTATGGAGAACTCAAATCTGAGGTCAGTTTATTAAAATTAACGAGTTAATAATCAGTTAATAATTAATATTATTATATGTTCGAGTAAAGTTTCACCGAAGGGTAATCGAGTATGGGGAACTCGAATCTGAGATTGATTTATTAAAATTAATAAGTTAATAATCAGTTAATAATTGATATTATTAATTTTGGAAAAAAGTTTGATCGAAGGGTAATCGAGTGCCAATAATTCGAATGTGAGGTTAATTTTAGTTAAAAATCAATTAATAATTAATTAGTATTATTAGTCTTAAAGATAGTTCCAAGAAAGTTTTACCAGAGGGTAATTCGAGAATCAATTTTTTAGAAAAGACATTTTTGGGACATTTCGATGCGGAGACTTCGAATCTGATGTTAGTTTTATAAAATAATTTTATGGATCACTTTTTTAGGGAGAGAACCAATTTTTATAAAAAAAAAAATTTCATAAGGGGTGACCGAAGGATAAGTAGGGTGGAAGAACACAAATCTGGTGTTAATTTTTCCAAACTGTATAAGCAAAAAGCTTAGTATTGTAGAATACGATTTCTACGAGAAAGAGCTGAGCGAGTCCGCAGACGAGCGTTACTTGTTTAATAGGCACTTTCTCTAGATAAATCTGATGATTCAGAAAAATCGCAGTAACTGTTCATATAATTACAGTACTTCTAAATAGAGTAACAATTCTTAATATGAATGATATCGTTTGAATTGTATAAACTTAATAGAAATAATTACCGTGTAAAAATATGCAAGCAGAATAAAAATCGAAGAGGTATAATCGAATATACACGTTGTGAATATAAATGAAAATAAATAAGTAAACGAGTATGTAAAGAGCAGATGGATTAATATTCTTTGCATATACGATTTATTCATGCATAAAGTATCGCTTTTATTTTCTTTTTCTTTTATGTCGTGAAAAAAACAAGCATGCAACAAAATGGAAGATACATTGCCTATTTTTCTTTTTCGTTCGTGTGTGTAACGCCTATTGCTTATATTCAATGTAGGTAGATAATTGATCAGTTCCCTTACATTAATGAAATAGACGAATATAATATGATGTTGAGGCTTGTAATTGGACGATATTTGTTTTTCATTTTTTGAGCAACTATCATATGTTACGATCATAAAAATTCTAAAGTTGGTAATTTTCCGATGGATGAAGGTGAATATTTTGCAACTATTTTAATATAATTATGAAGCAACAGTTGTCACGTATAACACTTTAACGACTTATAATATTCAGATTTAAAAATTATTTTATATAAGACATAGATTCATTTGATCAAATGTTTGTTTTGATTTAATACGATGTCAGATGAGCTGTTTGTTGAATTTTTGAAGAGCATACGTAAGTCAAGAATTACTTATTTTCGAAAGAATATTAACATGATTTTATTGTTAGTTTAAGATACCACTCGATAAATAGTTAAAGCCTCAATAAAACTGATCAATGGGTGTGGGTGGGTGTTGATCGATTAGAAGGATATTCACACTGTAGCCCCAGCCACGTCCACCTACCCTCAACATCTAGAAACTTTGAGTCTATAATAACTTTTGCTCCACACATCCAGATCTAGTTGCACTGGAAGTTTCATAAATTTTTGTCCAACCGTTCGCGAGAAATCTCAAATTATTAAGCCACTTTCTCTTCTCAAAACAATTGTGACAGTGAAAATGATTGACCGACATTTATGCGCAGACACTTCCGTGCGAATTGAGGAAAAGATGATAACCTTTTTTTCTCTTAAATTTGATTTGAATTATGAACGAACAGAAATTTATGCTTAGCTGCTGATAAAAAATAGTTCTCAATTTCAAAAAATATATTGATATAAATTATTAACAGAGATAAATAAATAAATACGCTAAGTGAATAATAATTGAGCGTAAAGAATGTAGTCATTCAGAAATTAAACACTGATCTGGCTATTTTAAAATAGTCGTTTCTAGAAACAGTATGAAATTCTTCGACCATATTTCGTATTCGAAGATCAATTTTTTCATATTTTGTGCGTTGATCTTTGCCTTTGACAGATTTTATAAGAGACATTTATATCTTAGAAATTATTAAAATAATACGCATATATATATATATATACTTTCTCTTAATGCTTATAAGTAATTCAATGAGATAAGAACAAAACGAGAAGAATTTTTTGCGCGCGCGCGTGACTGACTTGTCGCATGTTTACTCAATTACAAATATATATGAGTCAGCGTTTTTCTTACGCAACAAAGAGAAATAACATTGCTTGTTTTTTTCAACTTGTTTGTTATAATTTATATATACAGTGGGATGGTGAAAGAATCCTATATTTTCTCTTAAGGGACAAATGATAACCAGTGTACACAGTAAGTGAGAAGGAATAACAGAACATCTCATTAAGTCATGATATAATTTTCAGATAGCTTTGAAGTTCATTTTATTGTTATAGATAGTACAAGAAGAAAGCATGGCAATCAATCAGAAAAAGTTACTCGTCCTTGATCTTGATGGAACATTGATTTTTGCGGAAGAAAAAGTAGAACTCATCTATATGCAAGTTGAACAGCGTCATGATTTTGAGTTAGAAGATGGATCGATTTTAGTGTGGAAACGTCCGGATATTGATGAATTTCTCGAATGGTGTTTTGAACATTATGATATTGGTATATGGTCGGCATCGGGTTCAGAATACGTTCATTCTGTGCTAAGTCACATTATTCCAGGTCACTTGAGAGCAAAAGTAAAGTTTATTTGGACATCGACGAGATGTACAAGAAAATATCAACAGCGAGGGTTAGATACATATTCAGTTCCAATTACATTAAAAAAATTGAAGAAAATATGGAGAAGAAATAGATCTCACAGTCCCAATTCAGTTGCTATCTATAACAGACGTAACACGTTGATAGTCGATGATACTCCTGTAACCTATCGGACAAACTATGGAAATGCAATTCCAATAATCTCCTACACTGGAAATTCTAAAGATTCTGAACTGAAAAGAATTAAAAATCTTTTAGATTTATTACTCTCTTCAAACGATGTAAGAACAATGAACAAGCGTGTATCAGTTGAAAATGTAAATAAAATATTATTAAAATAATAAAAAGTTTACAAAGAAAAATGATTACGTTAATGGAAAGTTTTTATCTCATGTTCGATTGATTCATTGATTTAGTATTGAATCTATAGTCGGATACAGGCTGGAAAATACTCATCACTTGTAATTGTAAATGTTGTTGGATACAATCCTTGCAATGAACATAGAGTGCTCGAAGATTTTTCATATTATTAACCAAAGAAAGAATATCTGTTCGTTTTTCTACTTGAATCAGTAAAATTTCGCATTGAACACCTAATGAAGTATTATACAATTTCGTACATATTTCTTCATTGAAATGTAAATAGATAGATTGTAAATCAAGTCGACGAATGGATTTACTTGTAATTTTAGCTAAGAAAATGATAGGAACAAATTATTTTGAATATAATTTTAAGGAATAAAGATGTGATGCACGATCTAATAAATATTGTAATTGAGATTGAACAGAGATAGAAGACAATCGAGGAAGTTCGAATGCAACGAGCCAGAATGGTTCTAAACAAGGTAATGTAAGATCAAGATGATGAATATTTAACAACTGAGCGTAAATGAATTGCTAGTTAAATCTGGCAAATTCTGTACACTTGTTTTATAAGGACATGTAGATTTGAATGGGATCGAAACATAACGAATGTGTAAAGACAATACAATTTTTTACTTTTTAATGGATCCCAATGACATCGCACAAACCATTGCCGTTCAACTAATCAAAAATTCGTTCAAAATGAATCGAGAATTTTATCAACTTGTTGTTCATTGTCAAGAATAAATTTCTAAACTATTGTGAGTGTGAGAGAGGGTGAGCGAAGAGAATAACAACACTCACACTCACACCTTTGAGAACAACTCAATGAGGGAAGAGGGAGACTTCATCTACTTCAACATGTTTTTGAAGTACAGATGAAGTACGCACTCCAGAAGTCTCGCTTTTTCTGCCTTGGTACCATTGCACTACTAGTAATCTAAGTTTAATATAAATGAAAAAATAATTTTTTGTATTTTCCCATTCATTTTTATAAATTTATCTCTGATAGTTAAGTCAATAAATGCTTTTCTCTGGTACCTGCTCGCGAATGAAAGTCACACGACGTTATAGATAAGCTTTGAAGTGATGCAGCTGTACCATATGTTACAATTAATTGTTTTCTCATGTGATAAATAAAAAAAGGCTTATGTGAGCAGCGAAGAATACAAGAAAAATTTACAGTTAATATAAACTGAAAATTTGAATCAGTGATAGGTAAGCTAAAAAAAGACGATTTTATTCACATGAGAATGCTATGCATTAACAGTATGTAGATATATTCCAGATCTAGTTAAATGAGTGATACATCACTTGATATCTATCCATTAATTTAATAAAAGTTAAGATGCCACAATATCCATACTCATCTCCTAAAAGCCCCGAACTCTCGCGAGTTCCATATTTATAGTAGATAGGTATAGGTATTGTGACATCCTTAAATTTTATTGAATTAACGGGATACACATCAGTTGTAATAGAGCTACTAACATTTTTTTAATGATACTTTAGAAATGAAAATAATTTATTCATTATTCTTAATTCTGTTCATAAAAACATCTTTTGGCGATGTATCTTCTACTTGGACGTACAGCTTTGATGCCAGTTCGACCGTCGAGAATCCATTAAAAGGCTTTGTTCCTTACTATTATGGAACAAACTCGCAGCCTACAGTCAATTTTCCTCATTCTATGGAAAATCAATACTTTCCAATGAAGAGTTTAATGCTTGGCCCAAACTCGTTCGATTTTTCTGCAATCGAGACTGTTTTGGTCAACGTTGCAAACAGAAATCATCACGCTATTGTCCGAGTATATGTTGATTATCCTGGAAGAAATTTAAGTATATCTCTACCTGATTTTCTTTGGAATGGGCTTACGTAAGAACTTCTTCTGTGGATAATTCATTAAATAAACTATTTCAATTAACTTTATAGGATATACTCTGGAGGTTCAGACCAAGGACTTTTTCCTGATTATAACAATGAAACTCTGATCAGTGCTATGGTCACTCTCATTCATGCATTAGGTCCGTTTTGTACAAATTTCTCTCATTTTTATCATATTTTTTTAGGTCAAAAATATGATGGAGATAGTAGAATTGGTTTTTGGCAAGTAGGTTTTCTTGGTCACTGGGGTGAATGGCATACCTATCCTAATGCAAGTAATTTTGCTTCAACTGCTTACCAAAATCAAATCCTCTCTGCCTTTAATTCTTCTTTTACAAAAACAAAATTTCAACTTCGTTATTTTCATATCACGGGAGACAACAATGCGACAAGTTGGAATGTAGGATTTCATGACGATTCTTTCTTTCAAGATACTTATGGCGAAGCTTGGATGTTCTATGAAAGGAGTATATCAGTAGGAGCCGATGCTCAATGGAGAAGTCAGGTAAGTTTTACTTTACTTTTTATTCAACTAATGATAATTTATTCTTTACAGCCTATAGGAGGCGAAGTTCGTCCCGAATTGATGCCTTGTGTATTTACAAACGATCCTGTAACGGCTTGTCAGACGATAACTACACTGAAACCATTAAACTGGAGCACTTGCGTACAACTGACTCACTCTTCTTATCAGTGGCTGTCGTATGCTTTCAATAATCCTGGTTTTTCTGGCTCGGACTATGATAGAGCTATCAATGGCTCTATTATGCAAGGTTACTCTTTCTTTGTATCTGAAATTACTGCAAAAGAGATTACTTGTTCAGGAACGTAAGTTTACTTATGTAGAGACACAGAAGGTTTCTCTAGAAGAGTACATATTTCGAAGTTCAAAAAAAAGAACTTGTTATTGTTTGAAAAACATTCTTCTACACAGTTGGATAACTTATTGAGGTCACTACAGAATTTATTATCAAAAAAAATTCACTTTTGTAATGCCTTAATATGATTAGTTTTTCTCTAGTTCACATGTTGTCAGAGTCAGTGTTACGATGTCTAATGTTGGTGTTGCACCTTTTTACTACCCACTTATGCTCAATACGAAAGCTGTTGATACTACAACGGGATCTTCCATCTCATTTAAATCAATCTCCGTTCCAATCGTAAATCAACTCGATCAGAAGGCATTTGTTTATTATTTCGATATGATGGTCAATACTAACACAACTATACAGTTCTCCACTTGGCTTAGCAGTTCACATCTTGTTGGAAATCAAACGATCGTGTTTGCTATTTCGGGTGCTAGTGCTACAGGGGTTATTCAACTTCCAGCAATATCTATTGGATCTTGTGCGACTCTGAACTCCAGTGCTGCTTGCACATCTTACATCGCCGATGCTAAAGCAAATGATACTCGAGGTACTACATACACCATTAGTTCCGATTCTAGTGTTTTCAATAACCCGTGCGCTATGACTTAGGACATCACTTTGAAATCTATTGAAAGTGAGAGTGTGTTTAACTAAAATAAATTCAAGCGTTTAAAATAAGTAATCATAGCATGTTCTACAAAAATGCAAGTCTATTTAGGCGAAAGCTCTAGTTATTCTTTATTTGTATCTATTTTATAACAACAAGGATAATAAAATATCAAATTGTTAATTTCAGTTCATTTAATTAATTTTCAACGTT